TATCTTTCTTCAAATCTGAACATGTGTTCGACTTTGTACATTGCAAGACACAATCGATGTTCACACGAACATTCGGACGATGATACGGTCCATAACATTCTCGYTGCATCCATGTTTCCATTTGTTCATGTGATGAGCGGGTGTGTTCGTTTACAGCAAATTACCCTGTGAACAGCACATTGTTCATAAAGAACCAAATTAACACATAYGGGTAATGTGAACAGCACATTGTTCGTGTGAACAACACCTGTGTGAACGATCACATCATCCTAATGGGTAAACGAACACAGCCGCTGATCATATGAACACATGGAACATGGAGGCATTGAAAATGTTATGCACATTATGATCACCCTCGTGTTCGTACATTCACATAGAGGKGTGCTCGACGAACATATAGCAACTATGATCACATGGACAACTTATGTTCATATGTCGTCCATGCGTATCTATGTGAACAACACCTATGTGAACGACCACAACATTTTAATGTGTAAACGAACACACCCGYTSATCACATGAACAAATGGAAACATGGATGTAGCGAGAATGTTATGCAMTGTATCATCGTCCGAATGTTCGTGTGAACATCGATTGTGTTTTGCAATGTACAAAGTCGAACACATGTTCAGATTTGAAGAAAGATACTTCAATCTGTTGTTCACATCTGCTGCATGTTGATACTTGCTTTTCGAAAAACACCACACCATATTCTGATGTTGGTCAACACATAGGAGCATCTTAGTGGAAAACATGGAYGCAACAAAAAATGTTATGCACCGTATGTTCTAAAAATCATACTCAATAATCATTAGGTTCATCTTATACGGGGACGATTGCAGTATGTTCATGCTGCTAATTTCACATAGGTGCTGTTCAATTTGTATGTCTTATTATCTACTTCCATTGTTTCATAWTTTGTAGTGTGTTTTTTGAACATATGTAGGCCCGTATATTGCATCAGATTCTTGGACGATATCAACCATATTGCAAAGCATATTTAATATACAACAAAGGTAATAGTTGTTCATTTAAACAATATAGAAGAAATATTAACCAYTTACCAATCGGAACACTTTGATCATCTTCTTCATCATCGGGAATCGTGTTTCGACCGTATTCATATCYGGAATTAAGTTTGTCKTTTACATTATCCTGAAGTTGTTTTACAATAGGATTCTCCATTTATCTTGAACGAAACGAAAATATTCTACAATTAGCCAACCAATTTCAATATATGTAGAACATCAATTGAAATCAAGAACATGAACATAAAAAAAAA